ATCTCCCTTAACTTTTTTTGTATGCGTGTAATTTCGGAATTGTCTTCTTTACTGAAAACATTTGCTTTCTTAACTTTTTCATCTATTAGTTCTTCATGGTAATTTAAGCTATGCTTTAATTCTTCTATATCTTTTTCAACTTTTTCCAATCTGCCATTAAATATTTTTAAGTTTCCACTAATAATGTCGATAAAAACTTTTTCCTGTTGTTTTAACATCAATTCGAATTCTCTTTTATAGCCTTCAAACAATTTTGCTATTTCTGATAGTGTAACAGCCATATTATATAAAAAATGAATTCTTTTCTCAAGAAAAATAAATAAAATTTAAAAAAAATACTAAAGATTTAAAATTATACAGTTTTTTCTTTAAATTTTTACGCTGATAAGCGTAAAGATATATATATATATATATATATATATATATATATATATATATATATATATATATATATATATATATATATATATATATATATATATATATATACATGGCCTACTTAAATTACACGGCCTGATTTGTTGCATTTTCCGTAAAAAATTAGGAGGCCAGTTTTTTTACGGCTCAAGTATAAAAACTTAAGTTTCGCTATGGTTATGAGTCTTGTTTGCACTATAATTGGTTTATTCTGATTTTATTAAAATGGTTTAATAATAGTTAGATTTTATTTGAGTACTTACATTATTTTGTGCTGGATTTTTTGTTAACTGATTGCCTGCTTCAGTTTATTCCAATTACACAGAATACTGAAATAGGCTTTCAGATAGCTATATCAACACATACCAACATGCTACTAAAAATAACTTTACATGTTGCTAAAACTTCTCACAACTCTCTATTGGAAATAATTTTAAAGGTTTGTACTTTTTTATTTATTATAATTGCAGTTATTAGATATAAAAAATCGATTTTTCTTTGAAATATTTACACTGCAAAACAACGTTTTGAAATGTAAATACTCTACTATGCTTGTGTTTCATACATACAGCAATTAAAATACAGGCCAAGAAATATCAGGCATACCAACTGTTTTAAAGTCAATATCTGTTAATAAAACTCTTAATTTTTCATTGCCTAATAAATGCTTATCATATTTCATATTTTCATGTTTCTTTATTAAAATTGTTTCGCAGTGGTGAAAATTACAAATTAAAAAACTATATTATATTAGAAATATTATTGACAAAAATTTGTTGTTAAGTGATTATCTGCTTTTTGTGGTTAAGATGTACTTCCAAAAAGCAGCTTAATCTCAAAGTTGTAAACAATTTGATGAAGATTGAGAAAATAATCTTTATAAAACTGTTTTTGTTTTTATTTTAAAATCCTCACCAAAAGTTTACATAACAAGTTTATGTTTGAAAAAAGAAATTGATGAGTGTATACCTCAATGCACTCAATGCACCAATCTGAATTAAAGATAAGGGCTGTTGTGACAGATAACCATTCTGCCAATCTTAATGCATTTTTATAGTTTCATAAAGCATATATTGGTGATGGAAAACTATTAATTTATCATTCAGTTTAAAAAAGGAGTATATAAAACATACTTATTATTTGATATACTTCGTTTTATAAAAAATGTAAGAAAAAACTTATTAAATGCAAAAAAAAAAAAAAAAAAAATTACTCTTTTTCATTTGATTTTTCCAGTTACTGCTAAAGTTACTGCTAGTTACATTGCAGGGAATATATTTCTTAAAGTTTATTAAAAAATTAATTATTAAACAGGCAAGTAAAATTAATTATCAAGTCACATATTTTAGAAACAACAAACAAGTTGTCAACATTGATAATATTTGACGAAACAACTGCAGCTGTAATTTATAATCATTTTCCTGAAATAAATAATGCAACACACTTTAATCATTATTTTATAAGTTATTTATCATACTTAATTCAAAGCAGAAACTTAATTTATCCAATCAAACTCAGCAAAGCTGGTAACAAACCCACACTTTATAGAGAAATTGCAAATAGTACTGAAATTTAATCAAAATAAAATTTGATAAATACTTTACATTAACCAAAAAAACTTCTTGTGCTCTTATAACAACCTTACAAGCAACTGTATCTCTTGTGAATGATTTTTTTGAGGAAGGCTTTGCAGTTGTTCGTAGTTCTAATTTACAAAGTACTCTTTTGGAGCTAGGTTTTAGTAAGTATAATTAAAAACATGCATTAGTAAAAAAGTAAGTATAATTAGAAACATGCATTAGTAAAAAAATTTTCGCGGATTTTCCCAAAAAATATTTTATCAGAATTTTGAAAATCATTAAAAATATTGTGCAAAATTTAGCTTAGTTGTCTACATAATTACTAGTGTCAGTTTTTTAAAAATAGCACAGGTTTATATACTTAAGCAAGGAATAAAGATAAAAATTAACAAAAAGATTTTTATGTTAAATTTATGATTAATAAATGTTACTTTATACAGAGAAGAACCTATATATGCAATTCAACCTGTCTAACTTTATTTGTCTTCTGTTTAGTATTTTATGTTATTTCTCTTATTTAAATAAAAAATTGCAGTCATTCTTTTTCAATTAAAAATTTGCAAAACAAATTTTATAGATTTGTTGTAGCAATGACAATTTTACTATGAAAAGCACCAAAAGTGGGGAGTCAAATAAAGATCTCGTATTGTTAATAATATTTTTATAACAATTTGCAAAAAGAAGTTACATATTCATTGAGTAAAGATCAAGTAAAAAAATTACAAAAAAGGCAAAGACAATATAAATATTCCTAGTAAAAAGGTGTTTCTTCTTTTAATTTCAATTATAAAAAATACAAAACTACAACCTTTGATTTTTTTTTTCAATGAAGAGTTTGAGACAGTCTTAGCAACATTTATTTTAAGGTTTATTGTAAGGTTATTTTTAGAAGCATGTTGGTATGTGTTGATATAGCTATCTGAAAGCCTATTTCAGTATTCTGTGTAATTGGAATAAACTGAAGCAGGCAATCAGTTAACAAAAAATCCAGCACAAAATAATGTAAGTACTCAAATAAAATCTAACTATTATTAAACCATTTTAATAAAATCAGAATAAACCAATTATAGTGCAAACAAGACTCATAACTATAGCGAAAATTAAGTTTTTATACTTGAGCCGTAAAAAAACTGGCCTCCTAATTTTTTACGGAAAATGCAACAAATCAGGCCGTGTAATTTAAGTAGGCCATGATATATATATATATATATATATATATATATATATATATATATATATATATATATATATATATATATATATATTAATATGCATTATATATAATTTATATAACATATAATTTATATGGTAAGCGATAAATACTATGACTTAAAAAGAGATTTTTCAAAAAAACGAAGACCAGATATATTACTGATTTGGGAAAAAATGTAGGAGAGTTTTTTCGATAAAAACTTTTTCCTGTTGTTTTAAAAATCAAAACCTCTTTTTGAGTCATATGTTTTAAAAAAATCAAAACCTCTTTTTGAGTCATAGTATCTTTTGCTCACCCTGTTTGTTTACTCGAAAATTTTTGTTCTGAACATTCTAGTATGTATATTTTGCATAACAAAAGTTGAATTTCGAAAACCGTGTATTAAATTATATAACATAAAATCTTGATATTTTAAATAAATTTTAAAAGATTGTTTGAAGTTCACAGTAAGACTTAGTATTTTTTCTTTAAATAGACAATTTGATAATCGTCTATCTTGCAGATATTTTACGGAAATATCTTATTTTTTTAAACTAATAACCGACATGACGGCATTTTCTTTAAAAGCATCCTATTAAAATGAGCTCCCAATTATAAAAACTTTATTAAAAATAACGGTATTCTTGAATGTATTGAATTCTTAATTGAAAATTAATTTTTTTTATATTATGCGAAAGAAGAATAGTCAAAATGTCCTAATCTAAATAAATTACCTCCAAAATATCCTATCCTAAAGTATTTCAAATTAAACATGCAACAAATTAAATATTTTGTAGCTTACATAATAACATGACAAAAATTTAGCTTAGATAAAATGGTAATGTTTATGTTGATTAAAATAAACATAAAACTCTAAACAAAATCCAATTATAAATCAAGAAAAAAAAATTTCTATATAAAACAGATCGGGGAAAAATTTAGAATCGATAAAAACAAAACAAAAAAACAGGCTGAAAGGTTTTTTTTTTTTGCTTTTTTTAATGGCTTCCAAGACTTAAAGGTACGATGCCTGTAACACTACCGTCATAAGCATAACTAGTGTATACCCACTAAGCAAAACCGAATTGACGTTTTTGTTTTTTTAAAAGAAAATATTGTTTATAACGTTATTTAACAATAAAATAACAAATTTCTACAATAGTTATCGCTACACTTTGGGTAAAATATTAAAATAACACTTTTTCAATAGAAACACTTTATTGAAATTATAGTTCGCATAATAAAATATTTATATCATATAAAATCTTATTTTATTTGAAAAGTGTATATACACTAATTTTACTCAACTACAGAACAACTATATGAGCAACATTGATAAGGAATGCGGTGCGAATTTCCTTGTTGAATGTTTTTCGTAACAAGACTGTTCGGACTTCTTGGAGTGAACTTAGAAAAACAATATGGTTATGGTTCCCATTAAGATACAGAACATAAAATTAGTAAAGATTATGATTTACCGAAAATAACTGAACTGTATCTTATTGATACCTAAAAAACCTTTTAGTAGACGAGATTTAGCTTTCAATGCAAATTTTAAACTTGGCTACGTTATTTTAATGTCATATGTAGATGTCTCTTAAGAAGTCGCAGTGAATAGAAGCTGCAAACAAAAATACTTAAGAGTTAATAACCCCAAATGCGAGGACATTGCAGCATGCGAGGACCAGATAGTAAATTTTATTTTTATTGAATACCCCAAATAAATGTTCAACGAATAATTAAATTGAATTTTCTAGAATGCAAATAGAACATTATAAACATTATCTTATAAATTTTTATAAAGCAGCAACTCTAGAAAAAGCTGAATATTATTTAGAAATGCAAATAATTGATTTACAATCTATCCCGTTTTTCAGAGAAAAAATTTCTAAGTACTAATACTTCTCCAACAGCAACAAAAACTATAACTATAGTCTGTCCGAGTGACCAATATTGGACTCGCTCATACAAATATTCTGCCATTTCTCTTGATGTTAATTCCCTCAACCGATGGTGCGTTTGATAATCAATAATTACTTTCAATGATTCATGGATTGATAGTGCTGTAGTTTCAATCATAGTAAGAGCGGTATGGTGATCACCAATACCAGGGGACAAAGGGCGTTCCTCACCAGATTGAAAGTCAAAGTAAACTGTTTTGTGAGTGAATGAGGAAAATTCATTGCTGAAGCAGAATACGTATTCACCTATCAACAAAAAAAATCAAAACAATAACTATCTAAAATATAAACTACATACTTATAAAACCTGTTTTCTTTTGTTTTTTACGAACGTTTTTTTTTCACACGAATGAACAAAATGTTTCTTAAATACAAAATTTTAAAAAAAAAATGACTGTCGAGCTCTGAATGAATGAATAAAATGTTGGGTAATAACTAAAAAGATAAGAGAATTTTTCTAGCCCATTAAAACTACTTTATAAACTGTTGTTAAAAAATTATACTTATAAATCATAACTTATTGGTATGAGGAAATTTAAATGTTGTCTCCATGCTCCATGGTCAATAAGTTGCATTTAAAAGTTCTCATGTTTAGCTGACAGCAGAGCAAATAATCAACATTGCCCCTAAAAAAATGAACGTAAGAAAACTAACGACACCTGACAGGAACAGGTTGCATGGAGTCATGCTGGGTGACTTTTTTGAAAAGTAAAACCTTTTAAACCTAAGAGAATTTTTGGTTACTTTCAACCAAAGTTCATCTATTTTCCATAAAACTAGGGATACCAAAAAATTTAAAAATAATATATGAATTATTCTATTACTTATGATTGGTGAGCCACTAGTAAATTGCAAATAATCAGGCATAAAATTTATGCAGCATTTTTAGCATACAATTTATGCAGTGTACTTAGAAATTTATAAATTTAAACAACTCAATTTAACTGTATTTAATAAACTGTAAATTTGCATGTAGCAGTCCAGTGATATGTAAAAAAAAACTGTGATATATGAATACATAACTTATGTATTTATAAATTGAATAAAACATGGAAGCAAATTATTAACACTCTGTACAGAGTCCTTCACCAATCAGTTAAATTAATCAATCTTAATAATTATTATGGCCTTGGGAATATATCTGAGGAAAGTCTTAAAGCAAATAGCAAATATATATGAAACTGTTGAAAGTTTCTCTAATAAATCACATCAAGAACATCTTATGAATATGTCTTATAAATGTTTTATATTATGTCTTTTGGAGATGCTTATGCTAATGTCTTTTGGAGAAATTTGATCTTGGTGTCTTAAACTGAATTACTCATTTGCATTCTTAAAGTTATGGCAAGATTGTTGTTCAAATGAGCAATGCAAATTAAATGATTGTTTATTTTTGAAACCAAACACATATCTTGATGATTGCAAATCTTTTATAAATTTGATAACCTTATTTAAGGTTAGTTGCGAAGTTATTAACATTTTCAAACCATTTCATAATATTAACATTATTTAAAATCCAAATTAAACCAGTTTGTGAGTACTAAATTTCTAATTGATAAACATTCTCTAAATTAATTAAAATTTTTAAATTTTCTTTAGGTAGATATAATAAATTAACATTGTTTTCTCATATAAAAACTTCTTTAAATTTGAATATTTAGCAACAAAAAAAAAACACTCATTTTTATAAATCCTTAAATATGGTCATTAGAAACTAGCAAATTTACACATATCCTATCATTAAATTTTCACAGAATTATATTTTACAACCAGCAACAAATATCCTTCTGAAAATTCTCAATATACTTTTTAGGATTTTGCAAAAACAAAAAAAACAAAAAAACAATATCATATAAAGATATGTGAAAGAATATAAGACTATAGAAGAGGTGATACAACCTTACTTCATTTCAGTAAAATTTGTCATACACCATATTCTACAGATATTTTTGTTGTTTTTAGACCATATCTCAGTATGTTTGCTCTACAGCAGTGAAACTAAGATTTTACAATTTTCTACTAATTTATCTTTCAATTCAACTAAAACTCACCTTTTTTATTAGCTACAAATGTATGACTGTCATATTGCTTTTTTTTCTCATTGTACAAAATTTTATTTTCTGGGTCCTTTAAATAAACATCTACATCATAGTGACCACCTGTAATAACCTAGAAAAAAAAAAAAACTTCACAGTATACTCTTTATACATATTTTATACAACATTTAATATATATATATATATATATATTAAATGTTGTATATATATATATATATATATTATATATATATATATATATATATATATATATACATAGTATATATATATACACATAGTGTGTGTGTAATATATATATATATATATACACAGAGTATATATATATATATATATATATATATATATAGTAGGGTGTCCCAAAAAACAACATTTTTGAAAATAATCTGCTCTCACCCCCTAAATGTGTTCTATCTAATACAAAAACACTAGGTTTAAATTTTTTTTGAAAAAAAATATAATTTAAAGGGTCCCTCAAGACCCTCGAATATTTAATGGGTCCCTAATATTTTCGAAAAAAAAGTTTTTCAAAAATATGTCAACCTGGTACTCAAAAGAAGCGAAATTATATAAATATTTCAAAAATAGTATTCATTTCGAAATATTTATATTTAACTTATTTATCAAAATTATCATGAAAAAACATAAGAAATGCATTTTTTTCATTTTTTCTTAAAAAACGCAATTTTTTATGTAATAAAACCAAAAATAACAATTTTGTTTCGAAATGAACATTATTTTTGAAATTTTTATATAATTTCATTGCATTTGAGTACCAGGTTGACATAATTTTTTTTAAAACTTTTTTTTTGAAAATATTAGGGACCCATTAAATATTCGAGGGTCTTGAGGGACCCTTTAAATTATTTTTTATTGAAAAAAAATTTAAACTTAGTGTTTTTGTATTAGATAGAACACATTTAGGGGGTGAGAGCAGATTATTTTTAAAAAAGTTGTTTTTTGGGACACCCTAATATATATATATATATATATATATATATATATATATATATATATATATATATATATATATATATATATATATATATATATATATTATATATATATATATATATATATATATATATATATATATATATATATATATATATATAATAGGAAATGCGCTGAAAATTTTACTCAAAAGAAAATAAAAATAAAAACTCAAAGATGAAACGAATATCCAACACAAGAGAAAATAAAAAATTAACTAAAGTAGAACTCAAATAACTAACCTAAAATGAAAATTATTTTAAACTACATTTTTAATTATGTTTAAATAATTTACTAATTTACTTTAAAACTACTAACTTTTGTAGTTTTTTTTTTTGTTTGTTTTTTTGCCTTTATATAAAATAAAAAATTACTTTTATCGATTGTTCAATAATAAATAAACTTTATTTAAATTATCAAAGTGTATATATACAAATAACTTTTTTATATATTAGTAAGCATTTTTTTAAAACAAGTTGCAAAACAATATTGACTAAATAATAAATTATGTAGTCTCATTAAAATAGTAATTTTTAAACAGATCCCTAAGTGTAGAGATAAGTTGTGTTCATTTTAAAGAAAATATTTAAAAAAATCTTTGAGCTTAATTTTTTTTTAAACAAAATAATAAATGCATATCAATAAATCTAAAATTTTTGTTTTAGACAAAGCTTGCCTTATTTATTTTTTTTGGTATGGGAGTCTTTATAATATACTCTTTATAATATATATATATATATATATATATATATATATATATATATATATATATATATATATATATATATATATATATATATATATATATATATATATATATATATATATATATATGGCTTTGTCAGGAAGCAGGAGCAATCACTCTTGAAAACGGACCACGGAAATTACATTTAGTTGAGAAAAGCTGGCCAGATTTTTTAGTCATTTTGAGAACATTTAAGCTTAAATACGTAACAAAAAATTGTTTTACGGACATACATGGACACATAATAAACTTGAATCTTCGCAAAACATCTTGGTGCGGAAGAATAAAAAGAATATTTGGGAACACTAAAAACCCGCCAAATTTACAAACAAACTAATTCTATTGGTTCAAGTGAAATAAAATTCTAGAGTATTCTTTTGAAATATTTTAGAAATTATATTATTCACAATTTGTTATGTTTTGAGATTTCTAGCATAAATTGTTTTAAGAATATATTATCAATACTATGGCTCATTCTCGGAGCCACATCTGCACAGCCATAAATCTTTTAAACTATTATTATTTGTTTACAAAAATAAATGTTTTATAATATAATTTTTTTTTTAAATTGTCAAAAGTTTGAAAGTTTATTATGTATTTTTTATGTAAATGTTATTTTGTGTAAATATTTTTTATCGTAATGTAATCTTTTAAAGCAATTTTATGATTTAATTTGTAAACAAAGACTTACAAAAATAATAGTGTTTTTAATGAAGTTATTAATAGTCATCAAAAGGTAATAAAACTAATTATGTAACAAACATATAAAAAGTTTCTGGTTACTAAACACAAACAGTGCATACAAAGTAACTCGCTGATGAAAAAGGACCACGCTTGAGGTTTCGACAGAACACAAATATATATAGCAAGTTATCAAATATAAAGTAAAGTTTCTAGATATTGGTTTACTAACTCTAATTATTTTCGCTTCAGTAGCTATTCTTAAAAACTCGTTATACTTTTTCTGCTTACAATATTGATTAAAATTAAAAAGCCCACTCACTAAATTTCATCAGGGATATTGTGAAGCAGATTCCCTTCCTTGTCATAAAGTATTTTTAACCTTTTTAGTTGATTTCTATCTAGTTAATTATATTTTTATAGTAATTCAATGATTTAATTATTTTTTTTATAAAATAATTTAGCTTAGGTAAAACTAAAACTTGCGTTAGTTTTATTAGAATCTTGTTAGACTTTTTGGGGTCGGGGACTATTTATTTTTGGATGCCTTTGTATGTGCCACAGCATAAAAATGACTAAACAAAAAGGTCTTCTTGACTTTTTTGGGGCCCTAACAAGACACAAGTATATAAATAAAAATTATATTACACTGTTTGTTAAATAAAGAACATGTTTTCTTTTTAAACAATCGTAAGATGTTACTTTATATAAAAAATGTCGGCAATTTTATAAAAAAATTATAAAAGAGCGATGTTTTAAAAATATTTGTTGTAAACGTAATTTATTTTGCTTTAAATTTTTTCGCGTTAAAAGATATTTTATTTTCATAATTTTTTTTTTGTAATTGTCTCTCATTGGTTCAGATATTTTTTTGTGCATTTTTTTTTTTTTTTTTTGCTTTTCGAAATTTTCTTAAAATGACTAAAATATCCGGCCAGTTTTTCGCAACTAAATATTATTTCTGTGGTCAGTAATCAAGAGTGATCGCTCTCGCTTCCCAACCAAGCCTGATATATATATAATATATGCTATAATCTTCATTAATAAATAGAACTTTATCAAAAACTTAACCGTATCAAAGATATTAGTGAAAATGTTTAGTTATTTTTAATTATATTTGGTATTATATTATATTAATATTCATTTCAAGTTTGAGTTTTTTGAGAACTTTATTGCTTATATATTTTCTTTTTCGTAAGGATTTATTTTCTTTACTCCTTATTTTTTTTTTTTAATTTTCTTCCTAAATTTAAGTTTAGCAATCGTATTTTTTTCAGCGCATTTCCAAAATATTTAAAAACCATCTAAACATCTTAACAGTCGAGGTCAAGAAATAAAATCACTTGCGTGGTCAGCAATAGCGTTCCATCGCACGCCATTCCTGTCCAAGCCTGCTTTACTTAATTATATTTTATTAACAATATCTTTTGCATGGTTTAATTACTTAACTGTTTAATTTTTAATTGTGTGGTGCAGACGAAATGACAAAAACTCATTAGCAATAAATGCCCTAAAAAAATTTTATCATTGTTTAAACAAAGATAAATAAAATTCAGAATATATAATGAGGTGACTAACTTCTTTTCATTCTATTATAGGAGTTTGCTATAAAAATTTTTATTTAGCCCTAGCACAACTTAAATATAAGATTCTATAACTTGTTATAGAATCTTATATTTAAGATTATTGGTCATCTAAATATAAGATTCTATAAAAAGTAAATATAACATTCTATAAACTTGTACAAAAATAATTTTTTCAAGAAAAAATGCTTTTTTGAAGAAATCTAAACAACTACGAAAGACACATTAATTTAAAAATTATCCTGATGATTGGTAAAAATAAGCTGCCTTATAAAATCTAAAAACAAAAATTACTTTATTTTTAATTGTATTACAAATATTTTTTGGGATTTAGTGAAAATTTATATAAATAAACACAATTTGCTGATTGTAGGAGAAAAAAATACTTATATCTTAAAAAAAAAAGATATCTTAAGAAAAAATTCAATGATGACATCATATACTGCAACTGTTATGAATTAAATGGGCATGAAATAAATTATTAAGTCTGCAGATAGTTGGATATATCAGACTTGGCCAGGAAGGTGTGCAATTTTACACCATAATATAACCACACAAATACTAATTTGTATACATTTTAAGAATGTGCTGAAAAAATTATCTTAACTATAAAGAAACTTAAAAAAAAAGCAAAGATCCTAAAAAAAACAAATAAATTTTCATAAGAAAAAAATAAAGAAAAATAAAAAATTTAAAATTCAAAAACTTTATCTTTTTCAAAATTTAAAATTCAAAATTGTTTAATTCAAAAAAAAATGTTGTTGTTTTAGCCGAAGCCTGCCTTCTCCATTTTATTCAACTCGGAATCTTCAATTTGTAAATTGCAATCTACAGACTTCGGGGATACCTTTGAAGCGCATTTAATTCATAAAAGTTTTAGTAATTGACGCCACGTCAAATACTAAAACTTTTATGAATTAAACCGTGAATTCCATATTCTTTTATGAATTCTACTATGACGTTAATGACGTCACTGTAGACTTTTAACAAATGAAACTCTGGTAATACTTTTATTCAAAATTTTTTTGATTATTTGTTAATCTTTTTTTTTTTCTACTTTAACATTTAAAAAGATATTAAAAACCTAAAATATTAAATGCTGGTTCTTTGCTATAAATTGTTATTGCGCCATATATTTAATGTTTATAAATGATGAATATTTATTATCCCAATCAAGATTCAGATAAAAAATTCTTTTATATTAATTACCCGTATAGAATTAGTAATAGCATTTTTATTTGGTTAGGCAATATTTTATCTCACATTGCTTTGCATGAAGTTTGGGAAGTCCAACGAAAAAAAATTAGTGTGAAAAATCATGTCGAAATATATAAAAAACAAATGATTTTAATAATAGGGGTTAAAAAGTCTTTTTTAACTAAAGTAGTTAGAAAATAAATAATTAAATAAAAATTTTAACATTAAACATCTTTTTTTTATTATATTGCAAGTGTAAATATTGAAATATCAACTTGAACTAAATTTACTTATTATTTACAACAACTAAGCAGCAAATAAAAAACCCTTAAAATTATGCGATTTTATGTTGCCTAATTGATTACTGTTGTGGTTTATGTTGTTTATGTTGATTATTTTCATCAATATCAAAATAGTTTCAGATTGTTAATCTATTGTTAGTTGTTACTGTTAGTTGCTCTGCTCATTGTTGATTTATTTCTAATTTTATTTTATCTCTAAGTTTAATTCTATGTTAAGAAAAAAAAGTTTTTATTTCATCATTCTTTTTATAAAAGCTTGTTGAAAACTTTTTTTTATATAAGTGCGCTCTTTTTTTATAAAAAAGCAGAACAAAAGAGAAAGAAAAGTTTCACACAATTAAACTTTGAATGAATAAGAGTTGTATATATATATATATATTTTTTTTTTTTTGCGTCACTCTATCTTTTTTTAGATGAGAGAAATAAAAGTTTAATTTGAATAAATGGAATGAATTGGAAGAGAAAATTGCTTAAAAACTTGTAATTGTCAATTTTGTTAGTTTTTTAATTTTCCATGTTAAGAGACAAATGCCAAATATGACACATTAATTGGGAAATACCAAATATAATATGCTTTTTAATGCGTGTTACGACATTTTGACAATTTAAATTACCATCTATCTTGAATTATTGCCACTAATTAATGTGTTAATTATTGCGTTAACTAATAATAATTTTTCTGTATTTTTGTTAAATGTTAATTATATAAAACTCATAATCAAAATTTATAATGCCGACTATTGTTGTTATTGGTTGTACTAGTAATGCAAAACCAGGATCTCACAAATCCCTTCACAAATTTTCATATCTGATACTACTGTCAACTGTATTGTTTATTGTATTCTTGTACTTTTTTTTCATAACTGTAACATTTTAAAAGCTTTGTTATCAAAAATCAAATGCAAAATATATTTCCCTTTTATTTATATTCAATTTAGCAAATTTAGCAATTTAAATTAAATTAAATTTTAATTACAGCGTAATTAAAAAAATTTTATAATAAAAAAATTTAACAATTTATCATATATTTTAAAATAATAGTTAATGAAAGTAATTTTTAATAAATACTTTTTTTCGATGGGAAAACAAAAAATATCAGAGCGTAAAAATGACCGGAGAGGTTAGAAAATAGTTCCCATTGTTTAAATAAAAATTAATAAGATTCAGAATATATAATACTATGCTCTCTTGCACAAAAACGAGAGACCGTATATGTATTTATATATATAACGTTCTATACTATGTAAAATACTTGTATGAAAATTATAAGATTGATAAGTAAAGCTGTAATATTTGTTTTAATTTAAAAACAAAATAAAATATAAGTAAAATATATAAATCTAAAAATTATTAAGATATCTGTAAAAAATAAGCTCCTATAAAATAAAAATAATTTATTATTTTTACATTTTACAAATATTTTTTTGCGATGTTTGGAAAAATAATACAAATAAATTTGTTTTGCTGTATGTTAAAAACATACTACATTGTACTTTTTGAATTAAAGTAGAAAAATGCAGAATTACATTTTTCATTTGTTAAAATTTTTAGTATTTGTCTGACATAAAATACTGAAACTTTTATGAATTAAATGCACTTCAAAGGAATTGCAGAAGTCTGTAGATTGCGATGTATAATTTAAAGACTCCAAGTTTTTGAAGAAAATGGAGAAGGTGAGCTTCGGCTAAAACAACAACATTAGTTTTTCTCGGTATGCATTCATTATTTATTTTTAATCAGAAAAACTTGGTTCAAACTTTTTTTTTTTTAACATTATCATAAATATGAACACAACATGTGTTGGAAGTTTGGGATCCGTTTAACTAAAATAAGTAATAAACTTCTTTTTACGGTCTTCTCCATAAACTTTCTTCTTACAGTGTATCTGGAAACATCTTTAAGATTATTGAATCTTTCCTTTCCAATTGTAGTATAAAAGTTCTCCTTGACAGCACTCTTATTCTTATTCTGTAACCTCAGAGGTTCCTCAAGGTTCAATCCTTAGCTCTATACTCTTTTTAATTTATATTAACTATCTTCCAGATATTCTCACATCCAAGGAGGCATTGTTCGCTGGTGACTACCATTTATTTTTGTCATGATAAGAAGCCAACTCTTTCTGATTGTTTAGAGGTGGCATTTGAGCTTGAAAAAGATCTCACTTCTACTTCAGCATGGGGCTCAAATTAGCATCGGCTAAAGTTGCATCTCTTTATTGAGCTCGACACTTTCTTACTCTGGATTCTATTCTCTATCTCTATAAATCTTAAATCCGGCCTTGTATGGAACACTGTTGCCATATCTGGGGAGGATTTTCTAATGATGCCCTTCCTCTTTTAGACAAGGTCCAAAAACGCATTATATACACCGTTGGACCTGCTCTTGCAGCCAACCTTCAACCATTATCACATCGTCATAAAGTTGATTCTCTTTCTTTTTTCTACAAATACTATAATGAGCACTGCTCTAAAGAGCTAGCGTCTCTTGTGCCATATACTAAAACTCACTCTCATGTTACTCGTCATTCAATTAAGTCTCATTCTTTTGTGCTTGAAAAACTCTTATTTGTCTAGCTTTTTTTCTTTAAGTCTTATCTTTAAGTGCTTGAAAAACTCTTTTTGTCTAGTTTTTTTCCTCGAACGATTGTTTAATAAATTCACACATTTAAAAGTTAAAAAAAAAAGATTCTTAAAAATTCTTCACACTAAAAAGTAATAAAATAAAAAAATAATTGAATCATTTCTTTAAAAATTTGTTATAAATTTTTTATTTAAAGACATTTATAATAAAAAATACTAACTCATATAAATATATATAAAAACAATGATATTCATTAAAACTTTATATAAAAAGTAATTAGCTTCTTTACTTATATGTGTTTCAATATAAAAATAAAATCAAAGTTATTTAATTCAAACAAATTTCAAAAAACTTTATCTTTTTTTTCATCTCAGCAAAATCTTTCTTCTTTTCAAGGGTATTAACTTATTAAGTTTATAGAGACAATAGTTGTTTTAGTTGTTGCTTATAAAATTATTATTATTATTATTTTAAATTGCACTTATTATAAAAAAAAATCATATATAAGGATCATCCATAAATCATGCAACACAAAACTTATTCAAAAAAAATTTTAGTTAGAGACCTTTTTGCTTTTTTTTGCTGCAGTTTTAGCTGGACTTGAAGGATTGTTTATATACTTTATTTAATAAAAGACTCTGCAAGGAAAAACTTTCAACCCTTTTTATTTTTTCTATTAGTTTAATTTTACATTATATAATTTATGGACGATCCCATAATTAAATAATATAAATAAAAATTAATAATTTCATTTATACTTTAATTAAAATCTTTAGTTACTTTATTTAAAAGCATTTTGCTAATATAAAAACATTAGTTAAGATAAACATGTCAAAGTTAAATAACTTTATTTTTAACATAATTAAAAACCATTTTTTCAGCACATTTTTAAAATATTAAAAATAAAATATTATATGTGATCATAAAAAAGTGTGTTTTTGTATGCCTTCCTGGTCAAGTCTTCCTGGCCAATAAACATTATAGATTTTTGAGAACGAAGACAAAATGGAGATTTTAATTTTATAATGCATTTATTACTTATTTTTAATTTCAAAAATTTAACGCAAACATTTTTTAAACATTTTCTATAATATGAACACAACTTGTCTTGGCACTTGGGGATTGCTTTAATCATTTCAAGCTCTAGTTAGATGATCATCCTTTTTTTTTTTTTGCAATTTATATAATCATTATAAGCACATTTTCACTTTAAAACCATCACATGTAACAAATTTAAAAAATATTATAAAAATATTTAAACTTGTTCATCCTACAATGATTTAAATAAAACTTTAAAAAACTTGAAAAATAAAATATTAGTTTAAAAGACTTAATTTAGAATTTAATTTAAATAGATTTGTATTTTAAAACTGTTTTCATCCTACTATACTGTTGCTTAAATATATTTAGGTAATTTCAGGTGAATATTATAAACGAAAAAATTATAGATTTTTATTAATTTTTGAATTAAACTTTACTTATAAAAATATATTTTAAAAACTTTTTAAAAATTTTTCAAAAATTCTTATCTCACAGATTGAAACATCGGATAGAAAAATACTAATCATTATTAACCTCCTATATTATAGCCTAGTAACATGCTTTAAAATCTTTAAGCACAAAGTAAACAACTTCATATCCAAAATTACCCCGTTATTGACATTAAGTCACGACTGTACTATACATTAAAGTGATCATACTTTATTGAAAAAACCAAATTAAAGCAAATTAAAATTATTTTTAGGTTTAAACAATAACATAAAAAAAAAAAAAAAACATTTTAATGATCGAAAAATCTACCTGAAATTCTAATGTACATTTCGTTTCATTATAAATCATTTCGTGAAAACATTGACGTTCATTATCTTCTAATTCAAACGTTAGTTCTTCCAACCAGCTATTACTTATTAAACAAAAAAGAATACAAATAAAACTTAACGATGCTTCTCGGCTCATATTTATTAGTAAAGCTTATGAGGTTTCATCAAAACTACATTCGAACATTGACGACAGCAACTAAGTAATACGGTTACGAAATCAACGCGATAAATCCTCCACAACAACTACTTTATTATTTAGAACTCTGCTTTATTTAGAAGCCATATAAGAATTTCAAGCGCGCAAACGTATCAAACTTAAAATACAATAAGATTGAATCTGATTAGTTAATACATAGGTCTTCTAATTCGAATGACGTGGCAAAAAAAAAAAGATAAATCATTATATAAAGTCCTTTAAATTTTTATTTGAAACTAATTTTTATATTATATGTCTTCAAGTAACTATATAACATGTTTTATTTTATATCATACCAAACGTAAAAGAATTGTTTTCACCAGCTTAAGGATTTTCCATACGCAGGAGTACGCAGGATTGGGGGGAGGGATTACCCAAAAGAGTACGGAAGCGTACAAGGGTGTTAAAGACAACAAGAACGTAAGTCATATCACGAAATATTAGATAACATTGATTTTTCAAACGAACTAAATACAAATTTTTCGTTTTTAAGACTTCGAAAAATTCTTGTGTTGGGGAGGGAGTTAAATTTTTAATAAATTTTTTAATAAATCTCCCCTACGAGGTTTGTTCCACAAACCTCGTAGGGGAGATAACCTTTCTCTAAAATTACCCAATCTCTTTATGAATAAAACAATTATTAAAAGAGAGTCAACTGATAACTTTCTAGGAATGATTATAGATGAAATGTTATCATGGAAATATCATATTAAATCTATTGAAAACAAAATCTCCAAAAATATTTCAATGTTATATAAATTTAAACCATTTCTTAATATTGAGTCTTTAAAAATTATATATTTTTCATTTATTCATAGTTATCTTTCTTATTGCAATATTGCATGGGGAAGTACTAATTATGGGAAACTTAAAAAAATCTATAAGAAACAAAAACATGGATGTAGGATTATATTTGGCTTTAACAGAACTGTTAATGGTGAATCTCTTCTAAGCGAACTTAATGCACTTAATGTTTATAAAATTAATATATACCAAGTTATGCTTTTAATGTTTAAATCAAAACATGGTTTGTTACCTAATATATTTCACTCTTACTTCAATGAAATTACTCATAAATACCTCACAAAATTTTCAGTTGATATGTTTGTTATTCCAAGATCTTATTTAAAACTCAGCTCATTTCAAATTCAATACCGTTGATATGGAAAAGTTTTTTGAAAAATATTTTTAAAAATAAAACTTTTCTAAACTTCTCCCTAGAACAATTTAAAAAAGAATCTAAACGTTTTCTATTAGAAAAAAACTTCGATTTTAAAAATTTCTTTAAAAAATAGTACCTAAAATAATTAAACTGAAAAAGTCATCACGACTCTCATTTTTGTCTTGATTTATTTCTTATCTATAAGTAATATATATATATATATAACTAAAAAAAAATGTTTATTTATATATCTTATTATACGATTTACTACTTGTAATATATTGTGTTGTATTTTGTAATTTTTAACTTGTTACATAAACTGAAGGCAACAATGTAAACGGGGCTTGGCGATAAGACAATATACGTCTTCTTCTTGCTCCGGCCATATATTATATATGTACAATCTTTCTTATTGTAAATTTTATCAAACGGCAAAGAAAAAAAAAAAAAAAAAAAAAAAAAAAAAATTATTAGAAGGTCAAGGCTGGATTTGTTACATGTGCTCCATGTCTACTTTGTGTTAAATTTTAAGCTTCAAGAGTATGTGTTTATATGTGTTATATGTTTATATGAAATCAATTAGTACATTGAATTCTTTCTTATCAGTCATTATATTTAATTCCTTTATCTAAAACTTTTCCTTTATCTAAAACTTTTCCTTTATCTAAAAATTAATATAATCTTTTTTTTAATTTTTCTTTTTTTTTTGACAAAAAGTTATATTTCTTGAAATTTTATTTTCAAAAGATTTTACAATCTTTACAATAAAACAAAAAACTGGCTTGAAATTTTTAATTTAAAGTAAATAGACATGATTTTAAAAAAAGCAACTATTTATTTTTTTACTTATCTTTCAGCGCTAACTGATATTTATTTATTTTTAATAATAATGACCTAAAGTTTAAACAGTAAGTAAACAGTAGTTTACAGAAAAAAATTTAAAATTCAAAAAAATTTAAATTTTTTATAATCGTTGAGGAACATTATATTGTTTTATAAAAACGATATATTATATTATAAAAAACAAAAACATTTAGCAAACAAATTTTTTTTGTTATAGACTATTCAGAAACTAGTGGTTTTCTCTAGTTTGATATAGCAACACATACACACAGTATATTATTCATGATTGGTAGATATAATAATGTGTTATTTTTAAAACATGGAAGTGTTTTATCCTTTTTATTGCCTGCTCTACATAAATGCATACATAAGAAATGTTGAATCATCTTAAACTTTTTCTTTTAACATTTGCATTCCTTCAGAAGCACTTGGAGGTTTTCAAAGTGTACACTGTTTAAATGCAAGATAAACTCAACATAATAAAAATATTTAAAAAAAGTTAATACGCAATTAAGAGTTACATAAGAATAATCAAAGTTAAATTATACAAGATTGTTATTTAAACATCAAGAAAATAAATAAACAATCAAATAAACTTATTGCAAAAACACCCGCTTAATCAGTACAATTTAACTTTATGTTCATATCTTTTGTATTTTACTTACTTAAAGATTTACAGAGAAAATTTTATTTAAATAATAAATTTAAATTTCTCATCACTTATATTCAAATTGTATTAATCTGAATAAATGCATATAACTTTTGAAATTTTATACCTAGTTTGTTTTACCTTTTACCTAGTTTGGTTGATCTTTTTATACAGTATATATTATGCGAGTCGTTCTGTTTGTAGGCCTTCTAAAATTGAAAAATGACCCGCATACCCGCAACCGAAGGCCTTCGGTCAATAATTGAGAACCGCACGCCGACAAACGGAAGGCCTTACTTTTTATCTATGTCACCCCTCCTTTTACCTAGTTTGGTTGATCTTTTTATACAGTATATATTATTTGTTTTTATTTTCATTTTAGCCATTTTTTATATATGTTTTATTCTACTGTGTATTATTATTATTTTTTTTAATCTTAAGTTTTTTTTTTGTTGTTGTTTGTGTTGTTTTTTTTGCATAATTTTTTTATTGCGAGCCCCACATATAAAAAAAAAAACTCTACATAAAAAAAAAAACTCTACATAACCGTAACATACAAATATATATATTTATATAATACAAATATATAAAATATAGATCATAATTAAAACAGAAAATAACTGAGAAAATTAAGAAATTCAAAATAGCAAATAATTAAGAATTGTTGAAATGCTAACAACCGCTAAAATATTTAAAAATCATTTAAACAAAAAGTTTTAAATAAAAAAAAAAATTTCATAATTAACATTATCAAAAGATGAATTTTTAACATCATTACTTAAATTTCATTGATATAAATAAATTTGTTTTTATTTGATTAAACTTTAAAATAAACATTTGAAGTCATATAAATTGAGATCCCTGAATAGTAACAATTGTTTTGATTCATTTTTAAATTGCTCTAATGTAGTCTTGTTTTTGTTGACAATATCTGGGAACTTTTTCCACAGATAAGGTCCGCGATATTTAATTGAATAAGAGGTTAATTTTAAATTATACTTAAGAAGAACAAAGTTGTTATCAGAAAACTTTGTTGAATAATTATGATATAAATTGGTTTGAAAAATTATTGGGGACAATCCCATTTTTGTTTTAAACATAAACAATAAAACTTTTGTTTTGTCAGTTTATTACTGCTTGCAACTGTAACTTTGTATTTAAAACTGATTGCTGAATGGAAAGTAATACCGATTTAATTAAATTATTATAATTACTTTGGTATTATTATTGTTATTATTGCTATTATACAATTAATTATTTTTATTATTGTGCTATTATTAATTTATTGCTATTTTTATTATTATTATAACTATATCTGTCTATAATATGGTTTATATAATCAAAGAGGTTTTTACTTTATATTACCTCTTATAACTATTTGTAAACGACCGTGGACATTAGATCTTTTTTCCAGAATATATAATTGATTGATTGATTTTAATATTTACTTGTTTATAAAAGATTTGTTTACATTTTTGCCCTCCTGATAATGACATTGCGTCACGTGGTTCATAATAGCCGCTTAATTCCGAAATCATCTATTATGTAACTATCTTGTGACCAACTCTGATTATTGCTATTTTAAATAAGAGAAACAAAAGTTGAAGAGGTACACTTGTATATATAAAACAAGACCTTATAAGAAAATAATTTATGACTTTAAGTTTGAAATGAAAACATTGAAGGTATATAGTAAACTGGGGTAAAAGTAAAAAAAAAAAAAAAAGTGAACGGATTAGCAATTTTAATAGTTTTTTCTTGGAGATGAAAAAAAATTAGTTCAGTCTTTGCAGCATTTCACCAGTGAACTATACCTTTTAGATTTAAACTTGTATTCTAATATAAAGAACAATACAATTTGTTGATATACAAGAAATTTTTATCATCGGCAAACAGATGAACTCGTGAGAAATAAGCAGTTGCTAAATCGTAAACGTAACTTAAAAACAAGAGAAGACCAAGTACAAACCTTGAGGAACACCACACAATTACACAGATTTATTACCACAATTAAAAGCAATAACACTTACAAATTGTTTTTCATCTGAAAGATAAGATCAAAACCAGTCATTTACAGTTTTAGGTTTTTCAAAAAGCTTCGAATATTAAATAAAAGAGAAATAGGTTTATAGTTAGTGTATGAAAGTTTAGATCCATTTTTATATATTAGAGTAACAGATGATAATTTCAAAATATCAGAAAATAATCGATTTATAAATGAGGTGTTAAATACATGAGGAAAAATATTTGAAAATTCATCCTTAAAATCCATAAAAATGTTTGTGGGAATGCTGTTTAGACATAATAACTTTCTAAGATTTAAATTAGATATAAGAGATGAAATTTCTGGATTATTTGTTGGAGATAATAGTAGACAAAGTAATTTTCTGGATTATTTGTTGGAGATAATAGTAGACAAAGT